GTCTGCCTGTCCTTGAAAAGACTTAAAATGTCTTAAATTCTTTTTTTTCTTTCTTTTTTTTTAATATTAGTCCTTCGAAGTCTAAAAATACTCTTAAATTTGAATTTGTGTGGTCTTAACTGACAGATTTTATCTGATTTTGTTGTCCATCTTTTAGTTTCTTTTTCTCAAAATGAGTCAAGCTCTTCTACATGAAATCCAGATTTCTGGTTTTAAAAATCTTTAATCCTATCACTGAACCTAATCTTTTTACTTTATACTTTTATTTAAAGATGTGTTAGTTATCACTGCTCACTGGTCTGTATAGTTAAGCCTTGCCATAATAGCTTATCATAGGGCTTAGGAGGTTATTCACTGAGTGCTGATCCTTTATCTAGAGCATAAATTTCTTGTGTTGAACGATTGAACATACCTGTTGGCAAAATGTAGATTAACCTAACTCAACCTAATAACCGTATCCCTACATAAAACCTGCCTCTGCATGGTGTCACATATATACTACATACCTTTTATACTTTATACTTTTGTCTTATTCAATGCTTGAATTAACCTGGAAATCCAGATGCCCTGCCCCTAGCAAATTCTAATTTGCACTGCACAGGGATCTGGCCCTGACGAGCAGAGCCTGCTGAATCGCCATCGGACCAATCAGATCAGTCTATCTGACAGAGGCGGGCTCTGGGCAGGCGTAACATGGTGAGGACAGTGCTGCGCCGTAGGAGTCGAAAAGTAAACAGCCAAGATGGCAGCTGCCCAAGAACTGTGTCCATTCAGTTCAACATTTTTGCCGTTTTGCCGACGGGATACGGCAAAAGCATAATATATCAGTTAGCCCCACTGTTTGGCAAACAAATGGCGCTTAGTGCAATGAATACGTCACCTTGTTTTTTGCTCTTATTGGCCATCGTGCTATCTAATTGCGTGCGGCGGTATTTGAGATGCTTCCGTTAGTGCCGCCCCTTGGGTAGGAAGGGTGTATTGGTGAGGGCCAGACTCAAAATCTTTCTAGATTTGAGTCTGGATTTCCAGGCTATGCTTGAATAAGAAAAACGATGATTCATCCAAAAAACAGTCTTGAATTTACTTAAAAATCATCTTGAAAAGGTCTTAAGTGTCTGATACCTGCACACACCCTGGTTGCGAGTGACACATAAGACACTATTTTAGCAGATTTTACCATCCACACTGAGACACATCACATTTTAAACCACCTCCAAATGCTCTAATTTGTACGATTCACATTTCTTTTCCTTTTTTGCTGTCCAGACTTTCTGCTATCAATCTGGACTTAATTTGGATATACAAAGAGAACGGTTTTTGGGTGGCAGTCTGAACAAATCCTAAATCATTGCCAGTAAAACGTGCTACTGTGCGATGGAGGATTGACATTGCTCTCCAGCAGGAGAGGTGTTCAAAGAGTTTAGACCGCGATGCTTATTTAAACCGCAGCTTGATTTGTTGTCGCCAAAATAAGTCTTTGTGACGAGACTGAAGTATATGATTTTGATTAATTGGACCCACATTGGTGAAAGACTTGATAATGTCAGTGACTGGATTGCTACCGGGGCTCCACTGTGACTTGGACATTGAGAAGGTTGGCAGTGTGTGACGAAAGAGGCCGTGCTCTCTGACAGACCTTGCTCTCACGCTGTCTAAAATATATGACTCCAGGTGATGTGCAGTGCTAATTAAAATTGATTACATAGCCCTGCTGGTTTTGTGCCCTTCAGTAATGGCTCTCCTCTCTCGTATTCATGTTCATTCATTCTCTGCAGTTTTAACAGCTTTTCTCTCTTTTACTCTTGTTTCATTTGGTGCTTTACTCCTCCTTTTGTGAGCCAGTCGGCAATGCATCTGATAATGATAGTAAAAATATTGTCATTTATTGGTGTTATACAGTGCGCATGGCATGCACATCCACGCACAATCACAGACAGACAGGCACAAGAATTTCTCAGCATGACCTTATTAAAAGGAGTCATCATCATTGCAGGAAAAAGCTAAGTACTTGTGGAGAAAATGACACCACTGCTAATGAGGACATTGCAATGACTTCCTCAATGAGCATTAGAGACAAGGCGGAGGAGAGAAGATGTAAAATGAGAGAAAGGCTAAAAGAACAAAAAGAAAAGGACCAAGGGAGAAAAGGTGTCATTGATTTGGTCACATGGCGAGACGGGCCGCAGATGCCCAGTACAATAAAAGGGCTGCAGGCTGAAGAGTCCAGTGAAACCTTGGCAATGAGAAACGGACCACAGGTGTCTATACATCAGCTCCTCGTTCTCCTTGACCACCTGTATCTCTGAGCCATTCTGTCAACGTCTCTACCAATAGATTGATACGGGAAACATTTTCCCTTCAAGCCTTTCCCTCTGTCTTTTTTCATGGCTTTATTTTTCACTTTCTCAGCCTGTCTTATTCTACTAGTTCAGTTCACATCCTCTCATCGCTCTGCTGGATCCACAGGTTTGTGCTCGGGTTTTGATTTGTGTTTCTGTGTGTGTACGCGCGCAGCTGCTATAGTGTTTGTGTGTTTGTTTGTTTTGTGTGTGTGTGCTATGTGCATATAAGTGTGTTTCTCTACCTGCCCAGGCTTGGGATTAAACGTCAGTCTCGTAGATTGATGTTCTCTCTGATAGAACGCCACAGCAGGAGTGAATCCATCGCAGTTTACAGATGGGAATAGAGAGACACACTTCAAAGAAACATATCGAATATCGAGTTCAGAACGCACGAGTCGACGCGGCACACGCTCAGACTCGGATGCAGCAGTTTTTATAGACTCACTGTCACATCCCGTCAGCGTTTTCCTCGCAGGCAGAGCGGTGTGTTGACTGTTGATGGTCCATATTCAACATAGGATGAGCTTCTATGAGAGCGCATCAGCAGTAAAGGGCAGGAGGTTAAATGCTTCCTTTTTCAGCACATACAGGGGTCGCGCACTGGTAATGTGCTGCGAGTGGCTGGCAGTGTGCCATGCGGAAAGGGCACACTTCTACTGTTTCAGCGAAGTGGAAGAGTGGGGGAGGGCTTGTGTGTGTGTGTGTGTGTGTGTGTGTGTGTGTGTGTGTGTGTGTGTTTGGATGTTTCTGAGTGTGTGAACATATATGAGTATGTGTAAGTGTATGTGCATGTAGGTGTGAAAAAGAAAGGGTGTGTAAGTGTATGAAGTGAGTGATTCATGGCGCAGGCCAGGGAGTGATGTACCTCTGCTGCAGCTCTGGCATTCATCCATTTTTTGAGAACATTTTTATCAGACTCTCCTCTGTGGGTGACCTCTCTAATGTCTGTGTGTGTGAGAGCATGTGTGTATCACTTTAATACTGTAAATGCAGTCATGTCAGGTCTTACAGTATGTGTGGGTGGGTGACACTAGTGCTGAAACAATTAAGTGGCTGATTAAGGGAAACTTAAAGGGACAGTTCACCCCAAAATGAAACGTAGATATTTTTCCTCTCTCCTGTAGTGCTATTTAGAGACAGAGGGATTGTTTTGGTGAGTTGCAGAGTGTTGGCTGTGACAGTCATAGAGATGTCTACCTTCTCTTGAGTATACAGGAAGTAGATGGCACTCAGCCAAGAAGAGACGCTTTCAGTGTTTACAACTGTTTAGTTTAGTTTAGTTTAGTTTATTTGCACATACATGTATAGAAAATCCAGGAAAAAGAAATTAAAAGTTTAAACATTGTGTAGGAGCGGTTAGAAGCCAAAAATGGCTCATGAAGACACCTCTCCTGTTAAATTACAACAATCATACATAAAAAGAAAAAGATAAAAACAAAGATTGTGTAACTGAATAAGAGTTCCAGACTAAGAAGTATTACAAAACTGTTAAAGATGTACAATTTACAAAAAACAAACAAACAAACAAAACAAATAACAAATGAATCAATGAAGTGTTTAGAGTCTTTGCAAATGAGAGTCCTTTTCAGATGTTTTTTGAAAAACGATACTGTAGATGATGATTGTAGAGATGGATAAAAAATTGTTCCAAAGAGATGGTATTTCAGTGAATATTGATTAAGAGTCCAACACTATAGAAGATGAAGGTCCTCAGCGTGTCTTGTGGAATATGAGTGAATGTCTGAGGAAGACACTGGAAAATGCTCGGCAAGTCATGAGTGAGATGTACATATTTATACATGAATACACAAGACTGGTATATGTTAACATTAAAATTGATAACAGTTGATATTTTCTAAAGACGGAAGCAGATGATTCACATATTTTAGCAAAGCTCGTCACTCTCCAAAATGTCTTTTGAATTAGAAAAATCTTATTGAGATAAGTGGGACATGTGGCAGCCCAATATGAGGGTAAATTAAGCTATAGAAAAAAGTTAAGTTCAATATGGTATTTCCAAATATAGGACAATAATTATTACGTAAGCTGGAATCACCTGATTTGAAATAGTGGTATGACTTTAGCAACTTTAAGGGTCCCTAGGTACAGCAGGACGCCACTCATTCATGAGTATACACACGCTTTTTTCCCTGCGTGTGATATGGTTGGCAGGTGTAGTTCTTTAGAAAGAAAATAACTCCGCCTTGAAACTGCTCACAAAAAGGTCTGTGGATTATCTTGAGTAACCAGGTCATGATTTCTGGATTGAGATATTAGCACTTTTTAGATAGGAGTTGTGCAAATTTGCAGGAAAGCCCAATCAGTCTTCTTTCAGCATTGGCAATATAAAAACAAAATCAGCCAAATATTTTTATTATTATTATATTAGCCAAATATTTCCAACACTAGGCGACTCACACCAAAACAGTCTAGATTGTTCATAAACAGCACTACAGGTAAGAGGAGAAATGTGTATTTTTGATTTGGGCTGAACTGCGACATTAACACTTTGGAATATCTATCACTCATTTGTCATTTATTGGGTAAAAGTACCAAATATTTACTGGTTGCAGCTTCTAAAGTGTGACATGTAACAACAGTGAAACATTTGAACATCTGAATATCTCTTCTTCTCTCCCCTGCCTCCCCCTGGAACAGCTCTAAGAGGTTAGTACCTTATCACTATTTCTATCACCACTCTTGTAAGCTGCGACTGATTCTGAACAAGCTTTCTTTATGTGGTTGTAGTGCGGGTGAATGACACAAAAAGAGCCCCGAGGACTATTATATGGCCTCTCTTGACTCCTTTTTTCCATAAATTATGGTTTAAGGTCCAGAATGGCTCTCAATCCTTCTTGTGGGATTTTATGGTGGCAGACAACAGTAGCAGTGTATTTTCAGTACGCCCACAAGAGTCCTACAGTAATACTAGATTTCTCATTTCGGGACTGAAAAAGACCTGCATGCTACATTTACAGGCATTAAGTCCGAACTAGTCATGCTGGAAAATGTAATTCATTTCACAAAATCCCATATTGTCCGGACTCTCAAGTTTATACATGAGCCTATCTGGCCTTCTACAAATCCCCCCAAAAGTGGAAACGTTCTTAGCGAGCGGCAGCAGAGGAGCTGTCCTTGGTGCTGAACTCACAGGAGATTTGAGAGCTGGAATTTACTGTTTCTGTGGAAGTTTTCTGCTGCAACACTGGATAATAAATGTGCTGTTTGGGACACATGATTGTATCTAAGACATTATGAGAAGTCAGTCCTGCTTTTATGTCGAGTAGACAGTTTGCGGCAGAACTCAGGAGATGAAAAATAGTCGTTTGTACGTTCTTTTTGTGGCTTTGCGACTGTTTGTCTAAGCTTTATTTTCTCTCTCGCTCATACACTCATTTTCTCGCAGTCTGTGCATGCGTCGCTTCCCCCCCGCCTCGTTCTGATGTTGTCAGAGTGAATTTTTTGCCACATGCAAATATTCAGAAACAATCAATCATGGTTCAACATGATTTCAGCGTTTGATGATTGCCTTATGCACTCACACTTGGGAAATGTCTATCAAAAACACAGACTGCATTAAATAAATATTAGGGCACGTTTCGTCCTCTGCCTTTATGAATACTTTAAGGCAGAGCTACAGATCCAAGCTGGTGCGTCTGTGAGGAATGAATTAGTTGATCTGACTGGCTGCGTGGATATGTGGAAATCTGATTGATTTGGCTCAGTCTGCAGGACAACAGCGAGTGTAGCAGCATTGCATCATGGCGCTGCTGTCAGACAAACCCCTCATACCTCCAGTGTTGATGTTTTATCGCTTCTGACTGGAATTGAATTGTGCTTTTCTGAGCGCTGTTGTTTTTTTATGACCGAAGGGCCCTCAGGGACCCATTACAAACCCGTTGTGTAGTTTCAAAATGCCCAGGCATCAATTGGAATATCTGACTGGATGTTAACTCAGTTCCTCACAAAAACATACATTTCGGCAGTACAAGCCTTGAGTCTGACAGCAGCAGTAGGTGTGAGTACTGAGTGCATGTAAACAGATGGTGGAGAGCAGAGATGGCAGAAGGCTCAGAACTGTCTTCACTCCAGCTCGTCTCCCTCCATGTACGGGAATGTTAGTTCACATCACACTGAGAAATGCCTCCAGCAACATCTTTCCTGCTGGTCGGCATTCTTCAACACAGTCAACCAGCACATACGTACACACACACACACACAACCTCTCTTCATATACACACACTCTCCTCGCCACAGAAAAGAGATGTCTGCCAGATGTGTACCACATCTATATGCTGTTGTCCATCTGCCTTTTTTCTTGTTTGTACTTATATGTGCATGCAAAAGAGTGTGTGTGTGTGTGTGTGTGTTTCTCTGCTGTAAAAGACACACTCGTTAGATGTACATTCTGAAGCACACTAATTAACAGCCTCGTTAAGGCTCAAGCAGCTCTCCTGCCGAGGCTGAGAAACAGTCACACACACGCACGCACCCACACACACAGATCTGCACGTGTAGCCACACATACACACTCATCAATATATGCATATACATTAGGAAACATATCACAATGCGCAATCACAAGCAAAACATTAACATGCATGGACTCACTGCACACACAAAGGCGCAGCTACACTCGCACACTGACTGTAACAAACACACAAACAAGCTTTTTAATCAGGACACCATCCATCATTATGAGAAAGCTGCATGTGCTGCTGTTTTTGCCTGAGCATTAATAAAGGTCATGCTTCATGTGTGGAGTCTTATTGTTTAACTGTAATATTACAACGGCAGTCAGCTGTGACTGCTGTCAGTCCAGCTCTCACACATGTTCCAGTATGTCTTATTTCCCACGCAACATTTACAGCGTTGTACATGGGAACCACAGCAGCCTCGCACCGCCCTGTCTCCCACCACCCCCTTTTTTTTCCCCACCGCTTCTGTCACTCCCTCATTCTGTCACTGGCTCTACTCCAGTGATATGCATATGCAAATTTGGTGCTAAATTACTAATTATAGTTTATTGCAGTAACAGCACTGCAATTAGGGAAGGCAGTGGTCATGTAGAGGAGAGACTAAGGTCAGTACAACATTTTGACACGCTAGAAATTGCAAATTAAAGCAATAGCTTTGCAGGAATCTCCATAAAAGCTGTCCTCTCATGACTTAGCTCGCCAGATTAAAATAGTTGGCTTTATTGGTGATGAATGTATTCACTTTTAACTTGTCACTTTAAAGCTGTAGTCTGTAACTTTAAAAAAACAAAAAACATCTTTTCATATTCCTGAAACTGTCACTGTATTCTCTCTCAGATAATCTGTGAAAGAAATCACACTCCTCTGCCTACTCTGTTGCCTTGTAGTGCTTCTAATGGCCCAACTGCATGTGAACAAAAACAACCAATCAGAGCAGAGGAGTCTGTAATGCAGCCGTCAATCATGACAATCACTGCTTGTGAATTGCGGTCAGACTCTCAAACTAGGCAGTGCTGATGAAATCTGAATCCAGATTCTGTGCCTTTTTCTCACCTCGAATGTTTTCAGAAACATATCTTACTATATAATGAGAAAACTGTGTGTGTGTGTGTCTGTTCCACGTTTTTCTCCTCACTGACTTGGTCAATCCATGTGAAATTTGGCACAGTGGTAGAGGGTCATGGGAGGATGCCAATGAAGCAATATTACATCAATTGGCCAAAGGGGGGCGCTATAGCAACCGATTGAAATGGCAAACTTTGAATGGGCATATCTCACGCCCTGTATGTCGTAGAGACATGAAACACATTTGCCTCAAGAACCCATAACTTCCGCTTATATAGATTTTCCGCCATTTTGAATTTTTTGAAAAACACTTCAAATGGATCTCTTCCTAGGAAGTTTGAGCGATCTGCATGAAACTGGGTGAACATAATCTAGGGACCAATATCTAAAGTTCCCTCTTGGCAAAAGTTGGAAAACTTACTAAAACTGAGCTTCTATAAGGCAATGAATATTGCGGAGGGCGTGGCTCATCACATAAAGGTGTATAACATCTCAAGGGTTTCACCCATCACCACGCAACTTTGTAAGCATATGACCACACATAATCTGAGGGGACCCCTCCATTATTGACCCCATCAAACAAAATGGGGGCGCTAGAGAGCTCATTTCTTATCTAGGCCTAACCGCCATATGGATTTTTACTAAACTTGGTAGATATGTAGAACAGGACGCCTCAAGGTGACTGGAGAAATTTAACTCTGATTGGCAACTGGGTGGCGCTATAACAACAGAAAAATGCTTCAAAATGGCTAAAATGCGACCGATCACTGTGGCTCCCCCTGTGGACCAATGTTGGTGTTGGTTTCTAATGTTTGGTATGACTAAGTCATGGTATGGTATGCTGTACATAATCACGGAAACTGTCAGTGTGTCATTCTGTCAGTCAGTCATTCTGTCTGTCCCACGTTTTTCTACTCACTGACGTGGTCAATCTATGTGAAACTGCACATAGGCATTGAGGACTGGCATAGGTAGAAGGTGACAAAGCTACCAATGGGTATGGACTAGTTTTAATTAACTTTCAACTATGAAATGAGAAAGTTTGTGACTGGGCTGGAAACATTTGACCAAAGCACCAACTCGGAACAACTCTTTCAATTTCCAGCTGAACGGAAACACTAGAATATGTTTTTGAAAGCATGTGAGGTGAGAAATTGGCAATGCAGAAACTGAATTTTGATTCATCAGCATTCCCTTTGACAGTTTGACCACGGTTCAGGAGCGGTGATCGACGTGACTGACAGCTGCATAAGAGACTCCTCAGCTTTGATTGGTTGTTTTCAGTGTGCTGCGTGTGTGTCTGGCATATGCCATTAGAAGCAGAAGGAAGAGGAGGAGGGACATGATTTTTTTCACAGATTATCTGTCTTCTGTTTTTCTGTCAGAATACAGTGACCGTAAAAGTTATTTTCTTATCCTGTGTGATCACACTCAGTCTATCATTACATCGAATGTTTGCTTGCAGATAAAACATTTCTCTTATTTGTGTGTTTGTGTACAGCTTTATGTGACATCACTGCACTGTATATACTCCAGGATTGTTCCTGCATGTGTTTGCAATGCTTATGTGATTTAAACACTCTGAAGGACATGTTTGTATTTTATGGCTCCCATTATGTCTAAACGCATATCTCTCCTCTCCATCTGTGTATCTGATAGTAATGAGTATGACAGAATAATGCATTCTAAATGCCTGACAGAGAGGTAAAACTGTGGCTGCTTTTTCCCTCTGTGCCTGTGGTTCTGCATGAGTGACCATTTAAACACACACAGTACAGAACAACACACAGTAACAAGCACACACAAGCAGCGTAAAGGCCATTTGCTACTTGCTGCATTCTGTCTTCATGACGCTGCTCTCACCGGGCAACTCACAGATCCCATAATTTAGCCCTTATCTTGCTGGCGGAGGTTGTTTGTAGGGGAATGTGTGTGTGTGTGTCTGTGTGTAGGTGTAAGTGTGTATGCATTCAAGCGGCCATTTTTGTGCCTGCAGACCAGGCACCACTAACTCCGTGCACTGTATTTACCACCACCTTGATTTGCTCCATTGTTTGAGTCTTAAAAAACAGTTGGCATTTGCAATCACTCTCCGCTACTTTGGCTAATTACTGCATTTCACTG